CCCTCGACAGCTTCAAAAATCACATACATACATACATACATACATACATACATACATACATACATGCATACATGCATACATACATACATACATACATACATACATACATACATTACATATATATATATAATATAAGGATCTTGCTATCTGCTATAGAGTCCCTGGCGGATCCTTGTATTAGAGCCCCCCTTTGCATGCTACAAGCTCCCTGAGGCCCACTTAACGTTGTGGCCCCAGCTCAGCTCTTTTCAATTGAAAAACCTGAGCTACGAAGCCTCAATGTTTATGTATATTTATGTATTTATTCATTTATTTGTTTAGTTATTTACAGACCTATATATATATATGTATATACACATACATACATACATATATATATATACACATACATATACATACATATACATATCTATATATGTGTATATATATATACATATTGAGGCTACAATCATTACAATGAGGCTTTGGTGTATGTTCCTGCGTAATGTAGAGGCATCGAAAAGCGAGAAAGTACTACTAACTACTCACTATGTCGGCCCCAAAACCAACAGTTTGTCGTTCACTGGCCAGCTCCTGCGGCGCTGCGGCTTGTGGGCTTTGTGGGCCCTAAACCCTAAACTCCAAACCCTAAACCCTAAAACCTAAACCCTAGAACCCGAAAACCTAAAACCCAGCCTAGACCCTGAATTAACCCAAACCCTGAGAAGAAATAAACTTGCTTGCGCTTCATGTCGTGCTGAGGGTCTAGGATGAAGGTGCACGCCGGGCGTTGGCTCCAGGCTGAAAGCATCACCGAAGGCGCTGTTTAGGGTTTAGGGTCGAGGGTTTAGGGTTTAGGGTGCGATTTAGGCCAAGTCTTCGTTAGACGAGGTTCTCTGAACCCCTACGTCAAGTCTCTAAGACCTATGCAGTTTCCCACTCCACTCCAGTGCATGCTAGGATTGAAGATATATGTATATATATATAGAGAGAGAGAGATACATATATATATATATACATACATACATACATACATACATACATACATATACATTCAATTTCCGGGGGATCTCTGCTTCTCTCAAGAGGTCAAGAGGAAGGGCATGGAGCCCTCCAGGAGTTGAGAGACCTGCCCTTGAAGAGGCTCTTAGAAAGAGCCGGAGCACCCGGAACCCTTCCTCTTCTCAGGGTTCCTCAACATCTGTTTAGGGGTTTAGGGGTTTAGGGTTTAGGATTATGATTTCCCGACTGTCCTGAAGAGAGTATGCTTGGGGGGGGCAGGCTTTGGTGGCGTTTAAGACGAGCCCTGTTGGGGCCGGCGTGGCACCTCGAACTCGCGCTCTAAGTCGCTCACCGGCAGAGCCTTAGGCGCTAGGATTGGTTGGAGGACTTGTGGCTTCTTTTTTAGGGGTTTAAGGGGGTTTAGGGTTTAGGGAAAGCTTACACGTTAGGGTTTCGGGTCTAGACGCGCAGGGCCTCCAGAGGTTCGGAATGTTGCCTCATGCTAAGCTCCAGCCTTCAAGCTTCGATACTAAGGGTTTAGGGTTTAGGGTTTAGGGAGGACTCTTGGACAACAGGAGGGATTCTTGAATCGGGCTTTGGGGTGTAGGGTTCCAGTTGCATGGCGCAGAGCTTGCCTCACGCCCCAAGCTGCTCTGGAACGGCAGAAAGCTTCACAGCGTCTTCGTAAGAACCGCTGATATGTTCCGAGCAAACCAGGCTTGTGCAGGGACCGTGGGGACATACTCAAGACAGAGGCGAACCCGGGGTGCTACCCTAGACTATTTATGAGGTAGCAGTGCTAGATTTATAGAAAGTTCTGGGTGTGGGCCGTGGAGTTCAGGGTGCACCAAGTGCACCGAAACGGCACTCCGACTCGACCCTTTCTTTCTTGTAGCATTGAAACATCCATGTCTGGGCTTTTCTTGGCATGTGCAAAGTGCCTAAGAGGACATGCACTGTGCAGGTGGCGCAGCTGTTGCAAACCACCACAATTCAAAAGTCCATCAAGAAACACAAGAGGCCGTCCTGTAGACCTATGCTTGAAAACGACGTTGCATAAAGAGAAGAGATTATCGCCGAGACAATAGAAGTAAACGAACAAGATGCTCACTCTGTGCCGTTCAGGAAGTCACGGTTTTTCCACGCCGGGTTCGGGTAATTGTAGTAGCCGGTGGCCTTGTCCTTGTCCGGATCGCCACCACACAAACCCAGCTTGCCTTTGTCCAGAAGCTCTTTCTTGATGTAGTCGGCATTGGCGGCCATCTGGGCATCGGGGAGGTTCGCACCCCAGTACTTCAACACGTTGTGCGCCGTGCCCTGTCCAATCATGTCCATGATGCCCAACGGCCCCTTGTCTGAATTGACAATGCCGAAACAGATCACCCAGGCCCGGTCGACATCTTCTGTTGTGCAGACTCCCTTTGTGACCAATGTCTGAGCAGCATTCAGCCACGGAACGAGCAAGGTATTGATTATGTAGCCAGACTGCTCCTTATGACAGCGGAGGGGCACCATGCCAATCTCCTTGGCAAACTGCACCACTCGCTCGAAGACCTCTGGTTTTGTGCCTGGGTGAGCCATGACCTCGCCGATGTTGGCATCCCAAATGCCGTTGGCAAAGTGGAGTGCGCAGAAACGTGCGGGCCTGCCGGTTGCCTCCGCGAACTGGCTGGGCAGCAAGGTGCTGGAGTTGCTGGTGAAGATTGTCTCTGGCGAGGCGTGCGCAGACAACGCGTTGTACGTGGCTGCCTTGACTTCCACGATCTCTGGCACGTTCTCGCTGACCAAGTCACTTCCATCCATTGCCTCGGCCGCATCGGTGGTGTACACGAGCCGGTCTAGTGCCGCTTTGGCCACCTCCTTTGCTGTGGAATGGCTGGCCAGGCCCTGCCAGGCACGTGCCTGCTTCGGCCCTTCTCGTGCGAGGTACTGCTGGGCAAAAGCGTCATGCGCCGCCCGGCAGCGCGACAGGCTCTCGGCCTGAGTGTCCAGGACAGCCACGTCGAAGCCGCTGATCGCCGTCTGGAAAGCGACCTGTGAGCCCAGCGTCCCTGCGCCGACGACGGTGACCTTGCGAATGGGCATGCCCGCCCCCGTGCTCATCCGGCGCGCTGCCTGGAGGAATGGATGTGCAACAGCCCGCAAATGGGTCGTCATGCAAGCGGGCGTGGGTCAGGGAAGCCAAGAACCGAGAGAAGGCTCTGTGTCTCGGGCCACCGGCTGCCAAACCCCAAACCAGCACGAAACCAACATGAGCTCATAGGTGCCAGCTTAGGGTCGACACTGGTCGCCGTTTTCAAGGCGATTGCAACTATTGAGCCCGGCACTCTCTTGTTGGCCTTGACGCGGTTCTGCAAGACTCGAACCACGCCCTGCGATGTGTTGACGGGGCTCTTGCTTCTATCCGTGACTGAAGGGTCCTAAACCACAAACCGATGCATAGGAGCCAGCACAGAGAAGGGCCAGCAAACGACCCAACGAACTAGCTTTCGGGTCAACCCAAGACCCTAAACCATAGGCTCTAAATCTTACCTCGAAGCTTGGAGGCTCAGGCGCGCATGAAGCCCTCAAGCCTCGCGGACACGGGAGTACTCACAGCATGGAAACTGGATTAGTTGTTTTTTGAGCTCCTTCTTGCCAGTTCAGGGATACGCTCGAAATAGTCAATGTAACCTAAACTGCACCGGGCTTCTTATGTATTATGATATAGGGTATATTCTTCGATAAAGAGCTCCCTGTAGGACGCGAGTGAAGATTCCAGAGTGTTCTGACTTCTGAGGGTTCAGCTACATACTGCACGAGACATATAAATATATGTATATATATATGTATGTATGTACGTCTATGCGTCATTTATGTGTGTGTGTGTATTTGTTTGAGCTGGTATAGGGTGATCACGGCACTTCTCCACCAAGGGGAACACGTGAGCACCGGGCACTATCGCACGCTTCTGCGATCAAGGGAGAAATGGCTCGCAGTATTAACGTGGTCTGCATCGCTCATGCCGTCGAGCCAGTGCGCTTATGTGCTCCCGTGTGCTGCCAGTCCCACCGAGGTTGACCCGGGAGAATGATTGATTGAACATTGGCCGTTCAAACCTTGCGTACTGCCACTAGTGGCTGCGCAATCGTTGGGGGGGGGGGGGGGGGC